CAGTGAGTGACAAAGCGTCCACCACCTGTTGGTTTGTAGAAGCTTTCAATCGCCCAGGTCGGGGAACATAATTACCTTGTCTGTGAAGATGGGCTGCAACCACAGCAAGGACTTTGGAGAAAACTCGCAGGGCCGTGGAAAGTCCAAGGATATATGGCAAGATGGAAATAAGCATCCTGGAGGTCGAGGGTTGAGAGCCATTCTCCAATGCTGGGATTATGGTTGCAGTGATAACCATCTTGAAATGCTGAGTTCTGATAAACTTGTTTAGCTTGCACAAGTCCAACATGGGCTTCCATCTGCCCATTTTCTTTTGGGTAAGGAAATGGGCTGACTAAAACCTGGTCCTCCTGTGTTTGGGAGGTACGGTTTCTATGGCACAGAGTTGCAGGAGGTGATTTATTTTCTGCTGTAGTAGGTGCTCATGAGAAGGTTCCCTGAAGAGGGATGGGGAAGGGTGGTGGGTTGGTGAAATAGAGGTGAAGGGGATGGAATAGCCCGTGTATAATTTCCAGAACCCATGATTGCCCAGACCGGATAGAAAGGTGTTAGGCGGTCTCCAAATGCACTGGAATCAGGAGATGCTTGTGGCAATGGAATCTGACGGACTCTCATGCCCTCGACCAATACTTCAAAATGCCTGTCTAGAAGTAGATGGTTGGGATGTGGTGGATTGCCCCGGTGTCTATCATCGTCTTGGCTGACGTTGTTTGCGACGTTGGTAGTACTGTCTCGGTGGCTGGGTATACAGAGCAGTACGGAAGCGCTGGGTGTAAAATGCGCCCTGTTTCTTTTTATCAGGTACGTGAATTCCCAAGGTTTCAGCATGGCACAGGAGTCCTTGAGCGTATGCAAGGCTACATCTGTGATGTCTGCAAAGAGTTTCTGTCCCTCAAAAGATAAGTCCTCGATCGTGGCCTGGATTTCCTTGGGGAAGCCGGAAAGGTGGAGCCAAGAGGCCCTCCGCATGACTACTGACGTGGCGATGGAGCGAGCCGCCGTGTCTGCAGAATCCAACAATGTCTGCAAGGCCGTCCTGGCAATCAGGGAACCTGCTGAGGTGCTCGCTTTGTATTGTTCTTTTTTGTCTGTTGGGAGATGCTCAATAAACAGACATCTGTGCAAAAATGTTGAGAGTGTATTTGGCTAATAGCGTGGAGTAGGTAGTGATGCGTAACTGAAGAGTCAGTGAGGAATAGACCTTTCTACCAAACAGGTCAAGGCGTTTCCAGTCTTTTTTCCGTAAGAGGTGGTATGAGCCAGGTGTGGTTTTCCCCTTTGATTAATGGCTTCCACAACCAGTGAGTTTGGACTAGGGTAAGTGAAGAGGAACTCAGCCCCAATTGCTGGCACGTAATACTTCTTGTCTGAACGTTTACAAGAAGGTGGGGCCATGGCCGGTGTCTGCCAGACCGTTTTTGCTGGGTCCATAATGGCAGAATTAATAGGCAATGCAATCTTGGCTGTAGAAGAGGCATGGAGAATGTCAATGAGCTCATACTGTGACTCTAGCAGCTCTTCTAAGCAGATGCCTAGGGAATCAGCCACATGCTTGAATAGATCTTGGAAAGATTTAAAGTCGTCCCCCGGTGTGGGGGGAGGCATGATTGTATTCTCCAGGGACGATGAAGAAATATGGGTAGGAAGTAGGATGTCACCCTCTATTAAGTCCTCATTGCCCTCTTGTTCCTCCCCAGCAACTTCAGGGGAAGCTGGGGCAACCAGTGAAGTAGATCTAGCTGATCTTGGTGTTCTGGACCTGGATTGGTTAGAAGGCTGAATATTGTGAGCCCTGTACAGTGCCCATGGGCCTCAGTTTGGTGGGAGGGCCATTGGGGGAGCATCCATTGAGGCCCTGGGGATTGCCACACTGTAGATTGTAGCCCTGAGGTTCCAGGTTTGGACGATGAATGGCATGGGGTGCCCATCCCTACAGCCACTTCATCCTCCTTATTGCTTGAGAGAGGAGGGACTGAGCTGGTCTGCCGTCTGCGCCTAAGAGAGGTATGCCCAGGGTGGAGGCAACAAAAAGGTCTGCCTGGCTAATGAAATGCTGCAGCACCGGGAACTTAGGTTCAGGCATAGGAGGCACAGAGGTTAGTCAGCATCTGTGCTGCTGGTGCTGTGGGCTTGCTGTAATATATAGGAACAACAGGTGGCGCCATAGCACTGCTCGGTGCTGAGGGCTTCAGCTGTCTAGGTTCTGAGGGAACAGGCTTAGTTTTGCCTTGGCTGCCTGTCTTAGAGCTAGACCGCACTGGGTCTTTCGCTCCTCGGGTTGCCTCTGCACTGGACGAACCCGGTGCCACGCGGTCCGAGGCTCTGCATGGCGACAGTACCAGGGCAGATTTAGCCGTCAGAGATCACTTTTTGCATGGCGATTCTCCCTGGGGGGGAGAAGGAGTGTGACCACTTGTTTTCATGGGGGTTGGATCCTTTGTGGTGATCTTAGAGGAGGATCCCATGTCCGACACAACAGTCGGTGAGTGAGTGAGCTGGTGGGGAGAGGTCCCCTGCTCAGGGTCAGATGCAGGATGCAGGGGACTTCTCCATAAGCATCAGTTTGAGCTGAAGTTCCCTAGCCTTTCTGGTCCTTGCCGTTAATTTTTTGCCATGGTGGCACTTCTGCGTAACACGAGTCTCCCAGGCAGCGAACACACTGGGTGTGACTGTCAAAGACTGATATTGACAATCTACAGGTGAGGCAATGTTTAAAGCCTGGGGAGCCAGGCATAGCCGTTTGAAGAGTCTCTCTGGTTGTTTTTTAAATGGGAAGGAAAGAGACAGGAACCCCACAGGGAACAGGAATGGGGTAATTCTGGGCAAAAAGGAAAGGAAAAACTATTCTGAGGAAGATTATTCTGAAGCGCTGCTGTTGTTCCGACCGAAGCCAACAGCAGCAAAGGAATTGGGGGACAGTTGGCTGCACGTGCACGATACCCACTCAGAGCAGCACAAGCTGGCAGCAGTGCGTGCGTGGCCAACCAGGGCACTGCTACCTTAAATCTCCGACTACAAGTGCAGGGGCGCTCAAACACCTAAAAAAGTGGAGCATCCACAGGGACATTCCTCGAAGAACTACTAGTATTTCATGAGTCCCTTTAGGGTCTGTGATGTGGTGTACAAACCCCACACTGAGCACCAAGAGGTTAAGGGATTATTTTGGGCTCAGCTAGCCCCACCCCACCACACCTGCAGCAAATGCTCCATATGATAGAGGAATTAAAAGGCAGGGAATTAGCTCATTCGGGTGGCAGAGCTAGAGGTGAGCAGACATGCAACCCACAGCTCCAGCAGAGCAGAGGGAAAGCTAAAGGCTCTGACACCGCTGCCCAAAGGGGCCTTCCTTGAGGGAAGGGAGGACCCACAGCAGAAACAACCAGAGAGGGAAGTATCCTTTGACCTTGAACGTTGGTAATGCCCTCTTATTTCTTTTGGTTTGGATTTCCCCACCAGGTGAAGGCCTTGGACTGAGCTGACCCCAGGGGGGAGACGAGAGGAAGAGGCCCAGGGAAGACAGCCTTAAGCAGCCTTGGTTTCCAGATTACTGGTAGCCCAAAGGGCCCTGAGTCAGGGCCTGGGCTCCCCTCCCCACAACCCCCTTGGCAGTCCGGGGTTGTGGCTGTGACCATTAGGCCACACTTCCCAACCAGACCTAGAGTGAGGACCATTACAGGGTCAAATTTGGGATTTACATTTGACAGTTTCATTAAGCCATTTTGTAATTATTCTTCTTTAACTCAGAGAGTACAACATATAGAAGCAAACTGTTTAGAAGAGGTTGCTTGCATACTGCAGACACTCTGGAAAAGTATTGAGAAACTGTATCCTGGATATGAACACTCATCACAGGAAGAAATTGCATGCTTGTAAATAATTAGCATAGTTTCCACATAATTGTCTAAATATTGATATCATGTTTCAATTGTTGTTGGGGAGTTACTCGGTTTCATCTGTTGGTTGTCTTTTTTGAAAATGAGAAGCACCGTGTTGATAGGGAAAAAATGTTCCCTTTTTTCATACCAGACATTTCATGATCACAAGATATAGCAATGTGCGGTGGTACCAAATGTATTTTTGGCATCACACCATGGGCCAGTAGGGAACGTAGTTCCTCTATACACTGCATTAGGGAGGCAGCATCTCAAATGCTGTGTTGAGTTCTGGACACTCAACAGCAGAAAAAAATTACCACCAAACTGGAGGTTTAGAGAAAGGAACACAGGGAGGGGAAGGAAGTCTTACTTATGTGGAAGTTAAAGAAAAGTTAACTAGGAATAGTTTGGCTAAACAATGACTTAAATAATTATGCAAAAAGAACAGGAGTACTTGTGGCACCTTAGAGACTAACAAATTTATTAGAGCATAAGCTTTCGTGGGCTTATAGTTTTAAAGTATCAAAAGCGTGTAAACAATCAAAGTTAGAGAATTTTTTTCAGGAGGTGTATCAGGAGGAAAGAGATTAAATTAAGCAGAGGAAAATATTAGAGTAAAGGTATTTAGAGAGAGATACATTAACAGAATATATTTTCCTACTACTTCCCTGGGCAGTAGTAGGAAAATATTAAGTAATACTACATCGAATTCTGAAAGCTATAAAGGAACAATCCCATCACTGGTACAGAACGGACAGGATGTTCTTATAGGCATTTTTCTTCTCCAATTTAAATGATTTAAGATGCTGCAATCTTGTATCACAAAACTACTGTAAAATTGTATGGAGCACATGATAGTATTTGTTTGGACCTTCTCTATTACAATTTAATTCTTCCATCTTAATACCAATGACTAAAACATACTGTAAAATTATTAAGACGATGAAAAGCAAACCAAATGCTTCCTAATTATGAAAAAGGAACCGTTACAGAGTATTTTTAAGTTTCTGGTTTATTACAGTTTTTTGGTGGTTAATACTCCAATTTTTTAAAACAACCAGCTGTCACAAACTGCCCTTCAAAATTTTCAGCCATTTTACATGGGAAATGGCTACAGTTCTTTACCTTAGCAAAAGTGTCCAGCTTGTCTTTATCGTATAAGACTCTCAGCATTCCAGCACACAGTGGGCAGCAGGCTCCTACATGACAGAAACAAAAGCAGGTTGCACTTCACAGTTTTAATCAGATCCTTCAAAGCAAGTGAAGGTCAAAATTAAATGGTAAATGATATACACAGTAACAAAACTCCCAAATACAAAGTTTCCTTTATGGAAACAGACCTTTCCAGTCAGTGGTTGGGTTATGAAATTTCTGTGCAATTTTTATGTTTAACAGCTGCAATTCAAAAACCATCCAATCCCACATGCATCAAATGCTATTTCAATGTGGAGTCATAGGATCAACTTTTAATCACTTCAATATGGTATCACATTGCTATGAAGCTACAAAAATATGCAAGTACATGCTAAGTCACAAGGCAAGATACACTACATGTGCACAGCTCGGGAAAGGGCGTACCCCAAAGTCTGTAATAACTACTGGGATGGAAGTGAGGGGGAACTAGAGCAGCAAGAAAGAGACCAGATTATTGTAACCGTTATAGATGTAGGTGGAAAGAGCTTGATTGCATAAAGCATTAGTGTAATCAAAAGACTGCAGTGTAAATGCACAGTTTTAACTTGTTAACACAGTTATGACATGTTTGGATTTAGGTTCTTGGCTTGTCAGGCAGATTTCTTCTAAGATTTCACATTATTTATCTATATTCACCTATACTTGTTTTCCTTGTTAGCCATCTCTCCCCTGGGGCTCCTGGTTTACCACCTACCTCTGGCTCTACTACTCTCCCCTCTCTCTTCAGGTGTCTGTCTTCCAGAGCTGCTGTTACTTCATTCCATAAACTAGCTTTCTTCATCCAGTCCTCCGCACCACCTCTGCAGCCCCACCCAATTGCCCCATTACCACTGAACACTCCAAAGAAGAATTCAAGAGCCAGAAGGGTGACTAAAGACAGTCTTGAGATAAAAGTCAAAGCCTCTTCCCCACTTCTGGTTCAGTCCCACTCAGGAAAAAAAAATCACAATATATTTATCTTAGGTATTTAAATAGTCTCAACTATATGAACACCTGAGCACTTCACACAATCTTACATGCATTTATCCTCATAAAACCCCTGTGAGATCGTACTTATCCTATTATCCCCAGCTTACAGACAGGGAACTGAGGCACGAGAGGGTATGTCTATAGTTTGAGTTGGGGGTGTGATTCTCAACTCAAAGAGACATACTCTCGTGCATGCTCTCATCGAGCTAGCACACCAAAAAGAAAATGTTGCCACGGCAGCGCAAGCAGCCACCCCGAGTATGCACCTAGCATCTCCAATGGGCATGTAATCAGGGTGGCTAGCCCCTCCTACTTCTTGCACGGTTGTGGCTACTGTCTATTTGTAGCTGGCACGTTCAACAAAAGCTAGCGCACATGTCTCCTGGAGATGGGAATCACCCCCAGCTCAAAAATACAGACATGCCAAGAGACTAAGGCAAGATTTTTAAAGGTATTAAAGCACCTACACCTAAGTAGCTTTAAAAACTTGGCCCTAAGTGACTTGCCCAATGTCACATAAGAAGTCCAGCAGAGTGGAGATCTGAAGCTGGGTCTCTAGAATCTCAGACTAGCACTCTAACCATTGAACCATCCTTCCTTACAATCCATACACTTTGAGAATGTTTTACTTCTGCATATTTAAATTATTTGGTTTCTGTAGCATGAAAACATGTATTATCTGTTAGCTCCTGTACTTTTGTGAAAAGGCTGATCGCAACCTAGTGTGACTTAACAGTTGGTAGGCTTGCTTTTAATCACAAATCTTGCTAGAGAAAAGTAGCTGAGTATGTGAGCTTTCCTAAAGTAACTCTTAGAGGGGACTGTTTGCTAAAGTTCAGATTTCTAGGGTACAACTTATGGCAGTTCCACACAAATTTCCATAAGCAAAATATTTAGCAATACTTTCTTATTAATGAAAATGGAAACAAAAATTATTCTTGGACATAAGAGTTATTTCCAAGACTCTTTGGCAACAAATGGGGACAAATATGTATCTCACACACCAAGATCTTTAGAAAGTTGTTTGGCAGTTAAAGGAGAATACTCTCATCTTTCAGATGGTTCCTTCTGCTGAAGCTCTCCATGCAATAAAATAAATGTTGATATCTATTATGTAGCCATACTTTACTTTCACTGTTAAATTTTATATCTACGACACACACATGAGACACAAACATTTTAATTTGCTTGACTACAAACCTGCCTGAAGGGATAGTAATCATATTATGTATTTGACATTGCATTCTATATGTTTATGGAAATATGCTTATAAGTGTAAATAACGCATAACTGGAATATGCATTATGCTAGATATGCCATGTGACATATCTTTGCAAAGGTTATGATCTACTGAATATATTCCTCCTATTTGTATGCATGTATCATTTTTATATGAGGAGGTTACTCACCCTGTGCAGTAACTGACGTTCTTTGAGATGAGTGTCCCTTTGGGTGCTCCACTCCAGGTGTTGGTGCGTCCCTGCACCTTTGCTCGGAAATTTTTGTAGCAGTACTCGTACCGGCCACGCATGCGTAGAGCCTGCCCCCCCACTCTGAGTCTAGCTTAATAGTGCGCATGCGCAGCCGGTCTCCTCAGTTCCTTCTCTACAACGGAGGCTACCCCAACTCCGAAGTAGAAGGGAGGAAGGTGGGTAGTGGAGCACCCACAGGGACATTCATCTCAAAGAACGTCAGTTACTGCACAGGGTGAGTAACCTCCTCTTCGAGAGAGAGATGTCCCTGTGGGTGCTCCACTCCAGGTGACTTAAAGCAGTGTCTCAAGGAGGTAGGGACTTCGGATCCAATAGGAATGCTGTAGATAGTACAGCTCTGCCCAATCGTCCATCAGAGAGAGGGCCCTGAGTAAGGGCATAGTGTTTAACAAATGTGAGTTCAGAGGACCAAGTGGCTGCTTTACAGATGTCAGCCAGGGGAACTTTGTGTAAGAAAGCCACAGAGGCAGCCAGAGATCTAGTGGAGTGAGTTCTGATGCCGGCTGGAGGTGTAACCTTCTTTGTCTGATAGCACAATCGGATGCACTGAGAAATCCAGTTTGAAAGTTGCTGGGTAGAAATAGGAGTCCCTTTGGAACGCTCCGTGATGGAGTCAAAAGAGTCTAGAAGAATTTCTAAAAGGTTTTGTTCTATCCAAATAGAAGGACAAGGCCCTACGTACATCTAATGTATGCATCGTGGCTTCGAACGAGTTTGCATGTGGTTTTGGAAAAAAGGTCGGCAGGTGTATCGGCTCATTAATGTGGAATGAGGAATGCACCTTTGGAAGAAATTTGGGGTGTAATCTAAGGGTAACCTTGTCCTTGAAAAATAGTGTATATGGTGGGTCTGACATAAGAGCTGCTATTTCTCCTGTTCGTCTGGCGGAGGTAATTGCCACTAAAAATGCTGTTTTCGTCGAAAGGTGTAAAAGGGAGCAAGTGGCTAGGGGCTCAAATGGTTGTTGAATTAGCAGGTTAGTACTAGATGAAGGTCCCATGGAGGGGTAGGTGGTTTAATGTCTGGGGATAGGGCTTGGAGTCCCTTGAGGAAACACTTGGTGATTGGATGAGCAAAGACAGAGGTATCATCAATTCTGTCATGAAGGGTTGTAATAGCAGCTAAATGGACTCTGATAGAGCTGAAAGAAAGGCCAGATTGCTTGAGGTCCAATAGGTAGTCAAGTATGATCGGGAAAGGTACCGACGTGGGACAAGTTGTTTACCTGAACACCAATCGTTTCCACTTTCGTAGATAGGTGGTGTGAGTAGATTGTGTTCTGCTATGTAGGAGCACTCTTTGAACTTGTTCATTGCAATCTAGTTTGTTTTGGGAGAACCATGTAGGAACCAGGCTTTGAGGTGAAGCATGGACAGGTTGGGGTGGAGAAATCGGCCGTGTTGCTGTGATAGGAAGTTCGGGACGAGAGGCAACAAAATTGGTGGTTGAATTGACATTCTGTTGAGGAACGGAAACCACGGTTGTCTGGGCCATGACAGGGCGATCAGGATCACCTTGGCACGGTCTGTTCGTATTTTTATCAGGACCCTGTTGAGAACCGGTATCGGGGGAAACGCATAGAGTAAGTTTCGGTTCCATGGAATCATGAATGCGTCTCCCAGGGAATGTTTGCCCAGTCCCGCTCTGGAGCAAAAGTCGGGGCATTTAGTGTTTTTCGCAGTTGCAAAAAGGTCTATGGTTGGATGACCCCAAATGCGGAATATGTTGTAAATGGTTCTCGTCTATCTCCCATTCATGATCCCAGGGAAAGCGTCTGCTTAGTTCGTCTGCTGTGGTGCTCATCACTCCGGGAAGATAGGCAGCTAATATCCGGATGTTGTTCGAAAGGCACCAATTCCAGAGCTTTGTAGCCTCCGTGCAAAGTGAGTGGGAGCGAGCCCCTCCCTGCCTGTTTACATAAAACATGCATGCAATGTTGTCTGTCATTATGCGTACATGGTGATTCCTGATTAGTGGGAGGAAGTGACGGTACGCATTGCATATGGCTCAAAGTTCTACGACATTTATGTGCAGAGAGGTTTCGGTTGAAGACCATAGCCCCTGGACTATGTGGTGAGATATGTGTGCACCCCATCCGGTCAGAGATGCAGCGGTAGTCAGTATGGGGGATGGAGCCTCCTGAAGAACGGGGACTCCAGAGCAGAGATTGGAGTGAACTGTCCACCACAGTAGAGAATCTTTGACTCGCAAGGGTATGGAGAGAGTCTTGTTTAGAGAGTACACATTCGGTCTGTAAACCGTGGCCAACCACAGTTGGAAGCACCTCATGTAGAGTCGTGCATTTTGGACTACAAAGGTGCACGAGGCCATGTGACCTAGTATTTATAGACAGTCTCGGGCAGTGAGCTGGGGACTGTTGCGAAGTTTTGTGGCCAGTAGGCTTATGGAGTTGAAGTGGTCGGGTGGGAGAGATGCCAATCCCGTCCGGGAGTCGAGGTATGCTCCTATGAACTCCAGATGTTGGGTGGGGCATAATGTGGATTTGTTTTTGTTTCTTTGCAGGCCTAGAGATAGGAAACAATCGACAGTAAGTTGCATGAATCTGAGAGCTTCGTCAAACATTGAGGCTTTGAGGAGACAATCGTCGAGGTAAGGAAATATTACGACCCCTTGTTTCCTGAGGTAGGCAGTGACTACGGCTAGGATCTTGGAAAAAACACGGGGGGGCCGTGGACAGTCCGAAGGGGAGAACCCTGTATTGAAAATGTGTTGAGCCAAGGGTAAAACGTAGGAAACGTCTGTGGGCTGGGTGTATAGTTGCATGAAAATAGGCGTCCTGTAGGTCGAGGGCTGAAAACCAATCACCCTGCTCCAGCGCTGGGATTATGGTAGTGAGACCAAAGCTTCAAATTTGCTTATTAATGGGAGAGGGTTGAGGTGCCCCCGCAGAATTGGGATGACGACGCTGGAATCTCGGTCTCTGGCGTTGCTGTTGTTGCTCCTGTGATCTATGGAAGTGTTGTGTATATGCGGGGCAGCGTGGACGTTGGTAAGGTTGGTATCTATATTGTCACCTTCTGGTCGTAATTGTCTGGAGACCTAAGGACCGGAGGGTTGCCCTGGAGTCCTTCATTGAATGAAGCACATCATTCGTGATGGAGGCAAAGAGTTTGTCACCGTCAAAGGGAAGGTCTTCAATGGTACTCTGGACCTCTCAAGGAAAGAAAGAGGAGAGCCATGAACCTCGGCGCATGACCACTGCTGTGGCGGTCGATCTTGCTGCAGTATTGGCTACATCGAGGGCCGCTTGAAGAGCGGTACGTGATATGATTTGTCCCTTGGAAACCAGAGCTGTGAATTGTTGTTTCTTCTGTTCTGGAATGTCATCAATAAAGTCCATTAATTTATTATAGTTTCTGTGGTCATATTTTGCAAGAACTGCAGTATAATTAGCAATATGAAATTGTACCATTGTGGATGCATATACTTTGCGACCAAAGAGGTCCAAGCGTTTACTTTCCTTGTTGGCCGGGGTGGAGCAGGAACACTGTTTGGTCCTTTGGTTCGCTGCGTCTACTACCAACGAGTTTGGTGCTGGATGGGTAAAAAGGAATTCAGAGCCCTTAGAAGGGATGAAGTACTTGCGGTCCGTTTGTTTACAGGTAGGTAGGCTTGTAGCTGGAGTCTGCCAGATGGACTTAGGTTCTAAAAGGGCTACGTTGATTGGTAATGCAATCCTAGAGGAAGAAGAGGGCTGTAGGATGTCCGTTAACTCATGCTGTTGTTCAGGGAATTCCTCCAAGTTAATTCTCAAGTCACTGGCAAGTCTTTTAAAAAGGTCTTGGAATTTTGCATAGTCATCCGAGGGTGTTGGAGGAAGGGGAAGTAAGGCTTCTTAAGGCATTACCTCCGGCTCTACTGGAATAGGAGCAGGACTTGGTTGACCCTGCAAGTGTGACGATGCTGCCTGGTGTCTTGTGCGTGTCATTGGCAGGTTCATCAGGTGGTGGTGCTAGACCGGTGTTGCACCTGGCTGAGGTGGCGTAGCGCATGTGTTCTCGAGGGCCCAATATTGCCATGGTGGTGGGTAGGGCACAGGTGGTGCCATCCAGGGGTTCACCCCCCCAGGGGGCGGGATCCTGAGAATAGGATGAGGTAATTTTTCTATGACCTCGGTTGACTGGGGATGGGAGTCTTGATACGGTGAAAAATCCCCCTGTGGTCCAGCTTCCTCCTCACTGGAGGAAGGCTGTTCAGACCCTGACTCAGCCATTGGGGAGAAGCAAGCATTCAGCAGGGGTGACTGCAGGATAGGGGACACAAACAGATCTCTTGCCTGAGTAAATTGAAGTGCTGAGGCTCCTGTGTGAGGTGAAGGCTGGGTAGGAGGAAGCTGCAGTGAGGAAACATTCCTCTGCACTGGTGTTTTGAGTCTGGGCTCACTGCCGGTCAGCCCAGTGGGTGTCGGTGCCGGTGCTGGGAGAGCAATCTCAGCCTGCAGGGGGTCAGGCAGGTTGTGGGATGTCGGCACCGCAGCGGACGTGGTGCCGAACGGTGCCAGAAGAGAGGCAGGCAGCTGGAAGCCTGAAGCCTCGGCACCGGAGCTTCGCACCGCCGCCGCAGCCTCAGGCGGGTTTCGCGCGGTGCCGGAGGAGCTCGGCTGGTCAAATGTGCTCAAGCGGGGTAACACAGGCAGGGAAGCGGCAAATCTGCCCGGGGAAATCCTGTGTCGCAGGGTTTCCTTTGAAGCTGACAAAAGGTGTCCTTTTTTTTTTTTTTTTTAAGATTTCTTGTGCTTCTTTGAGGCAGCGGGGCTGTGGTGGGCAGCAGAGCCGGAATCAGCGCCTGGGTCTGAAGCTGCGCCTAGGGATTTCTGGAGGAGGAGCAGTTTCAGTCTAAGCTTCCTGTCCTTCCGTGCCCTAGAGCTAAGTTTGCTGCAGTGGGCACATCTTTGGGGAATGTGGGTCTCCCCCAAACATTTTATACACTGTGAGTGGCCATCTGACAAGGGGATAGCTTCCTTGCAGTTACAGCAACGCTTAAAGCCTGTGGAGCCAGGCATGTCCGAAGCGGCTGCGGCTGACAGGATTTTTTTTTTTTTTAAAAAGAGATAGAAATGGTAACTAACTATAACTAACAACAAACTAACTAGAAGGGTAATTGTAATAAGAGGAAAGAATTTTCTAATGAGCCTGCTGAGCTCTGTCTCAGGCCGGGGACGGTAGAGAAGGAACTGAGGAGACCGGCCGCGCATGTGCACTATTAAGCTAGACTCAGAGCGGGGGGGCAGGCTCTTACGCATGCATGGCCGGTACGAGTACTGCTACAAAAATCTCCGAGCAAAGGCGCAGGGATGCACCAACACCTGGAGTGGAGCACCGACAGGGACATCTTAAGTATCACATGGCCTTGACAGCCACAGTAGAAAGGTCTGAATACTTTAATTGCACTAAATCTAATGGGATTCTGTGCACAGCTGTTTCCATTAGACTGGCCAGGCTATCGCTGAGAAGGGATGGCCTTTGGGCACCACAACAGACAAGTCTACATGAGCTTGAAGAAGAACTGAAGTTATGAGCATTGGCTCTATGCTTGTATTTGAAGTGTGATTTTCCACACCCCTGAGTGACATAGTTATACCAACGTAAGTTTCTAGTGTAGACTAAGCCTGAGCGTCTAATTTTAGGCACCTACTTTGGAAAACACTTGCCTTAATGATTATCTCTAAATTTTCAGCTTCCTCTTAGAATCTTGAAATATTAAGCCCTTATTGCAAACTTCTTGTTTACAGTATCATGGAACCCTTTCACCAATGTCCACTTGACTTCTTAGCAGATAAGTCAAATTCATAGGTCTACATGTGCAATATTAAGAGCAGACAGATCATGTTCCAGATCAATGGAAGCATGAGAATGAAATGCATAAAATTTTTGGATCCTGGACTCTTTGGCATTGTAAATTATCTTCCCATAAATTACTAGATGTAAAAGCAGCATGTCTATGAAAGCTTCCCCACTTCCTTGCCTTCCCCACAATATTTTCTAGTGTTGATAGCTGCTAATATGAAGCCTTTTTCTCTGCAGTACTACCCAGCGACACCTGGTGAAAACACCATTGAATGCAGGAGCATGTCACAATATCAAAACAGTGACAAGAGTGGACTGCAGAAGAAGCTGTTATTGGGATACAGAGATTTAATTTAAAAGGTATGTCTCTCAAAAGGGCCCCAAGGGTCAGGTACTGTTGTGTTTTGGATAAGAGGGTGACAAGTCTAGGATGGGACAGAAGATTCAGTCTTCAAACTGAGTCCAACACTAGTTGTTTAAAGACCCAAGGATAATGCAATAACTGGAATGATTTTAAGAAATAACATTCAATGAAAAAGTCCAGCAGACAGCAGGTTGATGTCACTCAAATTTAGTACACAAGTCAGACATTTTGTGGGAAGCCTCCAGATCTCACAAGAAACAGCGAATCTCTAAAGTGGTTTTAACATGGTGGCTGAAATTTTTACCTTGTGACTAGGCATTTTATCATTCCTCTGCTCTGCCTTTGAAATAAAGCCGTCTTATCCCAAAAATGTAGTTTTCTGCTGTTGCTATTTTAAATACAGTTTGGCACTGCTGTGTAGTATCCACATTACAGATTGTGGAAAACTGCTGTATTTTCAACAGCTAAATATTTATGTATACAAGTGAAGCACTAGTTCAATACAAAGCACATTCTGACTAAAATTGTACTCTAATGCAGAAGAGAACATAATTTTATATTTCATGATATGCATTTTTTGTGTGTCTAATTACAGCCATGCACATTCTGCAGTAAGCTGGATCGGTCTGGACTGTGAATTTTACCACAGCAGACTAGAAATTCAGTGGTAGCTTTCCCCATAAATAAAAATGGAGATTCTGAATCCATAAATTATGAAACTGAGCAATACAATCAGTACAGTGGCCCATGTGTTATTTATTTTGCTATTAAATTCTCCATGTGAGATATGAAAGTCTGTTAAGAGATCAAACATCAGCAGCAAACTGTTAAGAATGTTAACATCTGAACTGTCATCTTTTAGGTTTCAAAATCAGCCCTCCACTGGAATGAATGGGGAGTTCACACATCTTCCAGAAATAACTGCAGGTTGCCTGCAGATTTAGGAAGACATCACCATATGATACGATAACAAATTAGGGATACGTAAGACCAGTAGATTGCAGAGTCTAACACCTTTCACTGAAAAGCCCCCTACTATTTAACTCAGGGTCTATAAACTTGAGCTCTTCAGATGATTACAACTGCCAAAGGTTCATATTAAGAAAGAGGCAACCTTCAAAGAAGTAGGACTCAAACCATTTAGGGCATTACATGTCAACACCACCAGCTAACGTCTCACAGAAATCAAATGAAAACCAATGCAGACCATGGGCATAGCAAGCCTAGCAGCAGATTCTGCACAAGCAGAACATATCTTATGTCAGCTCAGTCTCAGTCAGCTAGCTCCTATTCAAACCCCACTCTTGGCTATACACTGGAAAAGTCACTCATCTGCACCATGTGTGTCCAGTGAAATGGAGACTGCTCTGAAGGCACATCTCAATATTAATGAAATCCTCTTTGCACAAAGGTCTATCAGAAAGCTTATGTACCACGTAAGTCCTAATTAAGTCCTCAGAATAAGTCTTGTAATGGTCACACACACACACACAATAGAATATATTTTTCAAATAAATCATTTTGGTCCACACCAACTTGCTTATACGAGTAGACTTCAGACACTCATATACCTTGATTAAGCATTAGCAACAAACATACCTGGTGCAACAACTGGTTTGCATCCAGTTGCAGAAAGATGAGGACATTTAACAGAGGTGCATTCTGTTTGTAAACTATAGTCTGAGACAACTCCTACAGCTTGACAATGTCCATAGTAGTCCACAGCCACACGGTCAGAATAGGCAGCACACACATTATTGTAGGTTTCACCATTATGTCCACATACTGGTTCCACTGATTTGCAGAAGGGCTGAAAAAGAGTTTGTAAAAAAGTGCAAAAAACTTGGTTTATTTACGTTGGAGACAAGACTTCAGGATGACCTTATAGTAGTTTTAAAGTTGATAGGGATACACTGCTCATGCTAGCAAAGTGTGTCAAAAGTCAGTAATGGAAATCTAGAGTAAATAGCCCATGCAATTTTATGAAATGTATAATAAACAAAAGGAGTAAGTTACAAGAGAAGACAACAGAAGAATATAAATACTGTAGGTTTAAGAGGCACCTAAGGGTAGGTCTATACTTACCTCTGGGTCCAGCGGTATGCAATCGATCTTCTGGGATCGATTTATCGCGTCTTGTCTAGACACGATAAATCGATCCCAGAAGTGCTCGCCGTCGATGCCAGTACTCCTGCTCCGCGAGAGGAGTATGTGGAGTCGACGGGGGAGCCTGCCTGCCGCGTCTGGACCTGCAGTAAGTTCGAACTAAGGTACTTCGACTTCAGCTACGTTATTCACGTAGCTGAAGTTGCGTATCTTAGTTCGAAGTGGGGGGTTAGTGTGGACCAGGCCTAAGATTTACTTCTGTTAAGGGACAGGAAATGAGGGTGCTGTTAAAAATCAGGTATTGGGAAACAAGCACTAAAACAACAAAAAAGGGGTAAGCGTAGCAAATTCTGAATATGTTTTTCACGTTCTTAAAATTACTTTATAAAATAAAGGGTTTAGAAAGATATAACCTCATGTTGATAGTTTTATTTCAAAGGAGTAAAATTTATTACTGTTATTACAGATTTCAGCCCAACATATGTATATTTGTTTGGTGCTTGGTTTTATTGTTGATTCTTTTTGTTTGTTTTTTGTTTTGTTTTTTATGTCCCTATCATGCCTTCTAGGTATATGTACAAACAACCATAAAAATTAATACTTTTTTTCCAACTGAAATAGTGCCAATTAACAATAACTCCCCAAAAGAAAACCAACAAACAAACCAACACACTCAGGAAAAGTGTACTCGAAAAGCCAACAAATTCAAATTGTTGGACCAAGGGGAGAAGTGAATTGAGTTCAAAGTCCCCTCCAGAGTACTCCCAGATAAGCTGTCACCCCACGCTATCCTCAGAGTCCTCTCAAGTGGAAAAAAAAGAGAGACAAGCCCAACTCCATCTTCCCTTGCTAGGGACTACAGCCCTGACAATAATACCTCTGCCAGCAGCATCAAAGGTAGCTGACATCATCATGGACATTTGATCTTTGTGCACCGTGTAAAGAATTGTATAATGAACTGTGTTAGAAAAATAGACGTATATTTAATAGTGTTCTAAGAAAATGTAAAAGGGAACTTTGCTGCTTTCTGACTGTCTTCTTGACATAGCTATTAAAACTCTGCTGAAACAACTTCTAAGGTAGTAAAAATAAAAGCTGGTTTGTGTCTTATCTACAGTGAATTCTTGGTCTGTGTAGATAACAAGACAAAGCAAGCCACACAAATGTCTGATTTACTAGACAGGTGCAGATCTCCCTAGTAAGATAAACTGAGAGGATGGTACTGAGTGGACAGAACTAGCCAACCAGCAACTCCAAGGCCACTGTCAGGGACAGTGGGTCATGAACCCTGTTACATGAGGCTCTCTGGTGCTAGCAGGTTCCAACCTGCCACTCAGGGACCAGCTAACTGTTGTCAGAATAGGAGCTGAACTCAGACAGAGGACCCCAATCTTAGGAGCTGTTTGGCAGAATGCTGAGGGTCCTAATTGGTTCACAGCTCCTATTTATACACAGCATAGAAACAGGAAGTTGCCCATGCAACTGGGATCCACCTTGCTCTGGACTGTGTCTCTTGTGCTTCCTCCTTGGCCTCCTGCTCCCCTCGCTACCCTTCCTGGTACCCTGACCTGGTCATTGATCCGTAGCTCTGCTCTCAAGTTTGTCTCCTGCTTCTGATCTCCTGGTAACTGACTCGGACAGTCAACTCTCAGTTTGCCCTCTGGCCTGTCTCAAACTCTGATCTCCTGGTATTTGACCTGGCCTGACTCCCAACTCCTGCTCTGACCACTAGGTCAGACCATCCATATCCCAGTCATGACAGCCACAAGAAGCAGATAAATAAGAATAAGACAACTGTAGTATGAAATAATGGAATACATGAAAGCAATGAAGAGACAGCTGGGTTGAGTGAGTGAGGAGGATAGCAAAGGCGAACATATATATACACAATATATTGCTTTTTTTTTAAATGTATCAGTTAAAAGGATCTGTGGTTAGTCTGTATGAAAATATACTTAGAGAAAATATATTTCATTCAAACAGCTCTGTTCTATCTAGCAAACACCATATTTAGTTAGCTATCCAAGATACTGTAACTAATCACTGTAGTTTTCCTTTAATAAGAAAAATATATGGCAAAACCTGGTGCTAACATGATCAGAACATATACATAAATAAGCATACCTAAAACTTTTGATTTGTTCCCAGAGCCCAGGAGTGAGCACAGCTATGAAACTTTGAATTGACAAAAAGAACTGGCCATAATATACAGTGCTTATTTTACACGTGGCTTGGCAATCAAAATTTTGCCCACTCAATCCTACTTTTATTTTACTTCAAGGTGGATAAAAATCCATGATTTAAAATAACAAAACAAAAATATCCAATTTAAATTTTTAAAAAATCCTTTAAAAAAATTAAATTAAATACATTAATAAAAAAAAACAATTTCAAATTTAATTTGAAATTGACAACATATGGTAAGGCCAAACTTATTATAATCTATTAATATCATTTAAATTAAATGCAAAAATAATGTTAGGTAGTAAATATTTTCTGCCAAGTTTTAAAATAAGGCATATCACTGAACTGTTGGAAGTCATTGTCTAAGCACCAGCTTTTGACAGCAGTAGCCTCTTTGGCAGGTGCAGAGAAAATAGTTCAGTTCAATGACTGGATCATTCAAAATTAAGAAACCAGTTGGCAGTTGAAAGAGCAGGAAAGATTGCTTTGCTCTTCCAATCTATGAATCAAAATAGGTGTGAGGATGAGATCTACTAGATCTAAAATCTTGATATGGTGACCAAAACCAATCAGTTCAATTCACCAACTAGAGTTAATAAATAATAAATCAGTTAAAAAAAAAAAACACGTTTGCATTTAGAACTAACTTTTCTTATTTTCCAGCATATTTAACGTGGTTTATTTTTTTGTAAATTAAAATATTTTGTGCATTTTAATTAGTTTTAAATTTCTAGCCAGAACTTGAAAAAAAATAAAAAATTATCTTGTAAATAAGAAATGCATTATTCACCATTTTCTAAAACAATAAAAAAGTAAAAATTAAGAATTTGAATACATTTAATTTAAGCTAAATAAATGTGTATAGATGTGTATCTTCCTGGTTAGCAAAAAGAGCACCAAATTTAGTGTAAAGTCTATATTTAGCTGCAAATTAATAAATTTTAATCATTACCAATGAGAATCACCATTTCTTTAAGAAAATAACTAAAAAGTACAAATGCAAAACACCATTAAAATTGATTAGTTAAGTCAAGGTTTCCTGATTGCTTATTTAAATCATGATTAAATTGCTTTGATTTCCACCGTTTTTTATATATATTTTATTTTATTGAGTGCCCCAACTCAGATACTATGTTTTTGAAAGCATTACTTTAATGAGAATTTTTTGTGAACCAGAAATAAATTCTGGTTGGACATGGCAAATGAAAATGGAACATTAAAGAATGCTGTTGAATAGCTGGTAAATATTGCAAAAACTATTTCATACCTGGCATGGACCCCTGTATGATACATTTTTTCCTTTTTGGTACAAAGTACACAAGTTATTATATTCCATATTATCTGTGTCACAAACAGGATCCCGTAACTGGTCACAACTGAATTGTCTTGGCACACATTCATGCTGGCTACATCCAAACTTCTCAAAACTCGTTAAGCAAACCTGCTGCTTTGGTATGCACCTGCATAAATTAATAACATTTTCACATTATGTAGGTTTATTAACTCAAAATATTCAGGGGAACATTAACTTTTGGCATACTTTCACAGGCTTTAGAGCTAGGTATGGCTAAGTAGAGTGGTAGAAAACTTGTGTAACAAAATATTTCAGGTAATCTAGTTTCAGGGTTCACTACAAACCTAGTACTGCATAAAATTTTGTCGAGGTATATGAACCTGAGATGAGATTCAAAATACAAATCCTCCTCTCCGCAAGTGTTCTGTCCTGGGTTTGGGGAAAACCTTGCTAGAACTATCAGTTTCTAAGTTTCACTTTGCAAATATAGGTTCAAGCAAAAGTCAGAGTATGAACCCATCTGAACCAATACCAAAACAACGAACAAAAGCAAAAAGTTAACTGAGTTAACTGAATTTTTAACAGAAACAGCTATATTGCACAATTCTAGCTGAACACTGCCCTGAGATAGTATACAATTACCATTAAAAACAAAGGACCAAATTCCATTAATTGATTATGTTCAACCTAGCATTGAAAAAAAAAATAACTGAAAAATGTAATACCTAATATAACTTCTCTTCTGACAGTGACATCTCCCCTAATCTGTCACTGAAGGGAAATACAGAGCAGCAGAGAACAGAAATAGAGAGGGAAAGGATGCTAAGATAAATTAACACAAATACTTTTTTTAATACAAAGTAAGTGCTTTATATGGAAAATTTATCTGGGAATCACTGTTTGCAGCACCTTCTTACCAAGATATCCTTCTGCTAAGGGTAGAAACTCCAGCCTGTAGTGTGATGAATGTACTGATGGAAAGCCAAATGGCTGTTCTACAAATCTCCTCTATCTGCTCATAATACTGCCAATCATTTTGTAGAGCGTGCCTTAATTGTCGCTGAGGCCTATTACCCTGTGTTCTATAGATTTTGCTGATAGACTGAAAATAGAGAGACACTAATATTGGGAGCCGTGCATTTTATTTATTACTTATCTTTAGTTTTCTCATCAGTGGTATTGTGCCACATTTTTGTTTATGTTCTTTTAAAGATTATCTGACTGTCTGTTAAAATGAAACAGCAGGGACTGGACAGAGGCTATTGAGAGATTTCACAAATTAGCAATACAACAACACTTAGTACTTATATAATGCCTTTCACCAGAGAAGTTATAATTGCTTTACAACAGTGTGTATTGTTTCTATTTTACAGATTAAAAAAAAGGCACAGATCACTCCTGACTCAGTTCCTTTCTTTAGCCATTGGACTGAAAAGACATCAGATGTATAAAGGTTACAAGGAGGTAAAAAGCCCCATATCTTATTTCCAATACCATAAACCATCCAGTCCACCCATTATCACATTTATATAATAATTCTGTTTTATTTCTAAAAGTAGAATCTGCAACATGCATTTTAAAGAAAATGTTAACATTTCAGAAATAATCAACTGAACAAAATGCAGACACTTATTGCAGTCTGTGAGTACTGCAAAATTAGAAATTAGGTATCTCACAAATTCCCACTTGTTTAATTGATTTGTAAAATATTGCTATAATTACAATATATAGTATCATTGCCAGGGAAGGAAGTATAAACTGATTTATCAATTAAAAATGCCAAATATATTTACATATTTAATCTTTACCTCTGATTTTTGGTACAAGGGTTAGGGTTACAAGGATCCTTGGAGATACATGATCCAAATTCAAACTGATTGTCCTGGAGCCCAACACATCGTGCTATGCATGCACTTGGATATGTGCGTCCATTTTGCCCACACACTGGGACAAACTGATCAGCACAGTTACATGGTAGACCTGAAAAAATAATATACATTTGGCTTGTATAGTTTCATTGGCAAAAAATGTACAAAATATTAGGGTATGTGTGACCAGCAGGTGAAGCAAATAACTGAGCTAGCTGTATTGGGACAAGTCATATGTAATCTTGGACAAGTCATTTGACCTTCTTTGGCCTCAACTCAGTGCAAAAATCTTAAGAGTATGTCTACACTTAAAACACTACAGCTGAGGTTACACCGCTGTAGCGCTTCAATGTGGACACTACCTATGCCAGTGGGAGGGTTTCTGCCATTGGCATAGGTAGCCCACTCCCCCGAGAGGCAATAGCTAGGTTGATGGAAGAATTCTTCTGTCAGCCTAGAACTGTCTACACTGGAGGTCACATTGGTATAGCTATACTGTCAGGGGTGTGAAATCCACACCCCTGAGAGATGTAGCTATACCAATATAAGCTTCTAGGGTAGACCAGGCTTTAGTTTAAAAACAAACAAACAAAAAACAGAACCACAGTGACTTGCCACTGAAATTTTGAAATTTTCTGGACAAACTGCAAGAAGAGTTCTAAGTCAGCCTTTTACTTTACTGTTAGGACTCAAATGAACATGTAAAGTTTCTGGATTTTGGAAAACGGTACCTGTAAACATACGACGTTCCTCTGCTGAGTTATGCTCATTAAGACACTGACGAGTGGAACATATCAAGTTTCCAGCGAAACAAGAACAGACATTACAATCTATGTTAAAGGATGTTCCATGGCCTTAAAATAAGAGAGAGAAGTATTTTATGTGTATAATTACAAATGAGTACAGACATTCCCCCCACCAAGAGACACTGATCTAAAAGACTTACTTTATATAGTTAAAGCTGCAGACAGAATTTCATTATAAACTATTCCCCATTTTTCTCATGTTCATGAAACTTTCAGAAATGGGTTTGTTTGTTTGTTTGAGCTGAAATTTCTATTCTTGGTCAGAGTTCAGAATGTTTTTGCATTTAACGTGAGGAAAATCCACTCACTCGTGTTTTTGACTAATGGGAAAGTGGGGAAAAATACTCAGGCAGTTCCTTTTAAAAACAAAAAAAATTACAAATAAAATGCTAAAACCTATGTAAAACTGTAATGTTAAGGTTGCAAAAATAAAATACTCAGGAAATGAAAATGCTAAAGCTCTCCAGATTGGTGTAAAAATGTTTATAACACCTTGGCTTGTGATCTTCTTTTTTTAATATTTGACTTTCTTAAAGATACGTTTAAAGATACTTTTCTGTTGAATTGCACTTAGGTAAACTCCAGGCAAGTTTGCTAACTTTTGTATTATAGATTTTTTTTTCCTGAATAGTATTAAAATTTCTGTTTAAAGTGCGAAGTAATAGACCATCACATCCTGAGATAGATCCTTATTTATGAGCCTGCACCCTTTGCACTGCTCACTTCCCTCCCCGGTGTGCCCTTTTTATGAGCCGAGAACATTATCTCAGTCTAACCCATAGTCAATAATTTGCAAATGTTATTTATGGTCTTAAACTAGCTCCCAGTGCATATCTGTCCAAGTTAAAAAAAACAACACATCACAATCTGGCATTATTAGCTGCAGGCAGCTGTGTCTACTCCATAGCAGTACGGAACAATGAGTGTTTACACTCACTACTGAGACATACTGGCAAAACAGTATAGAGGAACTTAGGGCCAGATCCTTTGAAGGGATATACATAAACAAAGGCCTATCCTCAGAATTTTCAGGACTGAGCCCTTAATATTGCAGCTGCCAAGACCCAATTTGGTTTCAGCAAGGTGATCAGTGTTTTACTTTCATAGTCACTTAGGGTATATCTACGCTGCAATTAAAAATTTGTGGCTGACCTATGCCACCTGACTCAGGCTCGTGAGGCTTGGGTTAAGGGGCTGTGTAACTGTAGTGTAGACCTTTGGGCTTGGGGTAGAGCCCGGGCTCTAGGACCCTGTGAAGTAAGTAAGGAAAGAAAGCAAGAAAACAGCCCCACCGCCTGAGCTCTGTGAGCCCAAGTCAGCTACCATGGGCCAGTTGCAGGTGTCCAACTGCAATGTAGACATTCCATAAAATTCAACAAACTAATCACCCCTTAATTTAGAGGGCAATCCTTCACAACAAATAAGCCAAAATTAATAAATGCCATTTCTGTAATGAAATACAGATAAATGTAACAGTATGAAAGCAGACTAGATTAAGAAGTGATTAGTTTGTTGAATCTAAGTGATTGTGAAACAACTTATTTATTTAAATTTGCAACATTAACATTGCATTAATATAGATTTTTTCACATAATATGGTAAAAGGTTATCTGAAGATCAATTCCTACATTGGACCTGATCTTGCAAACATTTATTACAGACCATAATGGTTACTACTATGAGTAACCCATTGTAAACGCCAAATAAAAAGACCTGAAAAAAATGAATGTTAGAATAAGCAATTCCTGCCTTTATGAAAGCAAAATAAATATTCCGTCGTCATCATTCCATGAGAAACTATGACAAATGCTTTACAAATAGGTTTTTTTTAACCCTAACTTGAGCCATAGCATTATTTGATTTAGCTAAGTTCTAATGAAATTTCTAAACCAAACACAAAGAGAGGCACTTGTAAACTATGGATAAACAATGGGTAAACTTAATATATGCATCTTAACTGTAAACAATGAAATCCATGGAACTATTTAGAGTATACTAGTAGAGTACTGAAAGAAAAACGTCCATAAAAGCAGTCACATAGGGTTACCATATTTGAACACTGAAGGAAAAAAAAAAAAAAGAGAAACATTCCACATGGGCTCCTGGCCCCGCCCCAACTCCACCCCTTCCCCACCCCCTTTCCAACCCCTTCCCAAAAGTGCCCGCCCCAACTCCGCCCCCTCCCTGCCCCATTGGACCCCTGCCCCAAATCCCTGCCCCAGCCCTGCTTCTTCCCCTGAGCACACCACATTCCCCTTCCTCCCCCCTCCCTCCCAGCCACGCGAAACAGCTGCCTCCTCCCCAGGCTCCAACTTTCCCGGCTCCCGCCGCTCTCCAGAACCATGTGCCCCTGGCCGGGCGCTACCCCCGCGCACCAGCAGCCAGAGACAGGGGGACGGGAAGTTGCTTTGGGCCGCGGGCCTGCCACCGAGCTGGGCATCCCAGCCCCAACGCGCTCCCAACTGCGAGGCTGCATCCCAGCCACAGGCTCCCTCTCTGGCCAGGCTGGAGCAGAAAAGTGCTGCGTGCGTGGCCCAGACCTCACCCCCGGGCTCAGGGGGGTCTCGCCTCGCTCTCAGCTGGACCTGGTAAGGCTGCGGCAGCTCAGGCCGGGCGGCTGCGGGAGGCGCTGCAGCGCGGGCCCTTCCGGGTAGATGGGGGGAGCTCGCGCGCCCGGGAGCCACCGCCGTGCGCTGAGAAACTTTCCCCTGCGCCGGGACCCTCCCCCCAGGCAGCGGCTCTGCAGGAGGTTGGGAGGGGGAGGAAGCCCCGGCTGCACGGACCGCTGGCGGGGGAGGGGAGAGGGCTCCTTGCATGGCTGGGGTGGAGGGAGGAGACCGAGGCTCTGCCAGAGCCATGGGGGATGCTTGGAGGAGGGAGAAGCGGCCGCGAGTCCCCCCCCACCCACAGCTGGCTGCAGAGACGCCACCGCTCCTAGCCGTGGGGTTGCAGCAGCATGGGGAGGGGAGAGGATTGCAATCCACAGGCTGCAGCGAGCTGACACCCCAAGAGGAGAGAGGGGATGGCGATTAACAACTGAAAATGAGGACATATGGTAACCCTAAGTTACACTTTTAGGTAACAATTAAATAATCAATATTTATGTCTTGCTATTGTGTGTAGTTTTTGTTCTCTCTTTTTAAGAAACATTTATGTACTTCATGTTGTGCAGAGAATATTTTTCTCTATAGAAATCTCATGAAACCACCTAATGCAGAATGTTGCTCAAACACATGATACTGTATCACTGCAGGAGTAGGGACTGGGGAATAAGCTCTCTCTGCACAGCATTCCCCCACCAGCTCTGTGGAGTAAGCCTGTCCAAGTCAAGACCGCCAGAGGCAGCATTCACTTATGCTCTTTTCCATTCGGAGGAGTTCCAAGGAGGGACAGCCATTGGCACCATCGCTCCTTAAATAACTCACACTGTCAGGGAACTTGAAAAGGCCAGAGAACATGAACCAGTGCTGAGAGGACAGGACTTCAAGCAGATGGCCTTGGCGTTCACCGCCCTCCCAGAAAATACACTCTTAGTTTGCAGAAACTGAGTCTAATCCTGTACTTACTTTTCCTTTGTCCTCCAACAATACATGACTTTTGGAGGTCAACACAATGCATCTCCATACAGTTTTCTAACAGTCCACTCTGTCCACAGGTACAAATTTTGAAGCAACCAACATCTCCTGCAGATGATGGAACCTGAATAAGTGTACCTTGGCGGACAATAAAATCTGAAGCTTCTCCCAACTTGCAACCTATGCACATAAAAGAAACATCAGCTCATTAAAAATTAATTACGTTTCAGAAATGTTTAGGGATAACAAATACTCTGTATGAAGAAATTCTGATGGTGGAAAAATCACTTCTGAGGATTTGTGGAAAAAATATATACATCTTCAAATTTCTGCAAAAATGGAAAGCAGTTTTTGGAGGCAGAGGAGTGTCATTTTGCATCCAAAAGTGGTTCTCTTTGTGAATAATAACATTGGTACAATCCATAATATTGCTCTTGGGAAAGGATTTCACCATTTTCAGGATCAATGGTAACTGGCAGAAATGTGAAGAATTTGCCCAAGATAAAATTCCTAAATACTTGCAGAAATACTACTTTTTGCATGCAAATGCAAAAAGAAAATGTGTAGTTTCACATCACGCTAATCAGCTCTCCTAGTTTCCCCATCATTCTGCATCAGAATACATGGACATGACAAATGCCACACACTTAAGATACACCAGCTCCTAACTTGTACTAAAATCTGGCAACTAAGCTCTGTTGTTTCTCTTTCCTGACCTCCTTTCCTCTTCCTTGCTTCTATTCTTGTGTGCATTTTGAAGACACTCAATAACACATTATGAAAATATGTTAACAAAATAAAAAGGAATAAAAAAGTTAAGAGAAAGAAAGAAAGAAGAAGAGGAAGAGATAGAAAAACAGCAGTGAGATGGAGAAAGGAAAAGGAAGAGGAGGATTAAAAGCCAGGAGGTGCAAGGGATAGTGAAAGGAACAGGAAAGAGATTACTTACCTCTACAGTAGTTAAGAGTTCTTCAAGATATTTTGTCATTGTGGGTGCTCGATGCTAGGTGTATGGCATGCATGTGCACCTTTGATTGGAAATTTTTCATCAGTAGTGAGTGTCCGCACCTGTATCCTACACATTCTCATGCTCCAGAACGAGGTTATATAGGGAAAGTTGGACCTGCCGCAACTCCAGCTCCTTCTCAACTCCGAAGTTCAAGGCAAGAATTCCGAAACAGAGGGGAAAGGAGGGAAGGTAGTGGGGCTCCCAGAGGGACAAAACACCTTGAACTTCAGTTACTGCAGAGGTAAGTAACCTCTCCTTCTCCAGGCTATTGTCCCTAGAGATGCTCTACATTAAGTGACTCCAGAGCAGTACCTTAATTACAGTGGTGGGTGTTGAGGAGATGAGTTAAGAACAGTTCACAGAATGGCCTCAACAAAAGCTGCATCAGGTCTGAAAGTGTGACGATAGCATAGTGCTGCAAAAATGTGTGCACTAATGATCAGGTGGCAGCTTTGCAAAGGTCTGCAATGGGTATGTTCTTAGGCAGAGCTACAGAGGTGGACTGAGCTCTGATGGAATGGACTGTCACCCTAGGTAAAAGGTGCACCCCACAAGCTTTGCAACATGTTAGGCTGCACCCTGAGACCTATTCAGATAGACTTTGTGAGGAAAGAGGAGTTCCTTTTATTCTCTCAGCAATGGAGATAGAGGGTCTGAGAAAGGATCTGAAAGGTTATTCCTGTGGCAATAAAAAGTGAGGGCTCTTCTGAAAGCTAGAGTATGTAGACTGGCCTCTTCCCTTGAAGCAGGAGGTTTGGGATAGAAAACCAGTAGCTGGATGTCCTGATTGACATGAGAGTCCAACAAGAATTTAAGCAGGAAATAAGGATGAGGACAAATAGTCACCTTGTCTCGACACAGTGTAGAGGTGGATCAGCCATAAGGACTCCCAGTCCACTTATTCTTCTGGCCAAAGTAATGGCTACAAGGAAGGCTGTTTTAAGAGACAAGTACAGAAGAAAACAACTGCACATGGGCTCAAAGGGTTTTTTTTATTCCCTCAAAGCATTAAGGACTAAATTAAGGTTGAGTGGGCTGTATTACAGAAGGAAAGAGGTTGGTCAAACCCTTCAGGAATCTTTTAGTAAGGTAAGGGGAGTAAAAACTGAAACCCACTCAACTGGTTGGTGAAAGGCTGTAATAGGAGCCAGGTGGACCTTGGTCGACCTGAAAGATAATCCCTGGGTTTTTAATTCAGCAGGTAGTCCAGTACGATAGAGAGAGAAGACTCAGACAAAGACAACGACCACTGTGCACACAAAATGCTTTCACTTCTGGAGGTATGTTTTCCTTAGGACATGCTTCTTACTGTTTAGCAGCACAGACTGCACCTCAGGAGAATTATCCTGTTCTAGACCAGAGAGCAATCAAGAAGCCATGCCCAAAGGTGTAGCAATGAAGTTGGTGTGGGTTACACAGCCTGATTTCTGGGTCAGGCAGTCTGTCACCAAAGGGAGGAGAAGAGGTGGTCTCAGCACTAGCCAAATCAGGTGCGACAACCATACCTGTCTTTGCTTTCTCCCTGTCTCTGCTTGTTTAGGACTTTGAGAAGCAAAGACATTGGAGGGTAGGCATATAGCAGCACACGTAGCGTGGCAGTCAGGAGAACGTCTTCCAGAGAGTTGTGACTAAGCCTGACCCACGAGCAAAATTATGGCATTTTGTGTTGAATGGTGTCACAAAAAGATCTACCTCTGGGGAGCCTGATGTGAGGCAGATCTTCCAAAAGATATGATTGTTCAGTTCCTATTCGTGATCCTGAAGGAAATGCCTGCTCAGATAGTCTGCCATGGTGTTCTGCAGACCTAGTAGGTATGCTGAAGAGATTGATTTGGTGGATTAGACACCAATTCAAGAGCTTTATTGCTTCTGCAATTAAGGACAGGGATTTTCCTCCTCCTTGGTTGATGTAAGACAACAGGGCAATGGTGTACGTCATAATACTTACAAAGTGGTCCTTGATCTTGGATGAGAAATAACAGCATATGTAATGGACTGCCTATAGCTCAAGGATGTTGGTATGGAGCAACGATTCCTGGGGGATCCACGTGCCTTGTGCTATTAAGACCTGAAGGTGAGCTCCCAAACCCAGCATAGATGTGTCTGAGGTGATGGTCCTTATGGGAGGTAGACATGAAAAAGATGTCCCAATGCAGACCGTGCAGGGGTCCTTCCAGCAACTGAGAGAGTCCTTGACTCTCTAGAGAATGGACACCTTTGGACAGGCTGTGTCTATTGCATGTATAAACAGTTTGAGCCAGACTTGGAGGCATCTGGAGTGAGGCATAACAAACGTGCAGGCTGCCATATGGCCAAGGAGCTGTAAGCAAGACCTCGCTGTGGTCTGAGGGCTCTGTTATAGAGTAGATGAGATGGAGTGTGGAAAATATCCGGTAGGGAATGCTGGGCCTCCTGAACCTTCTCAAGGGGAATTTGTAGTGTCTCAGCCACGCTCTTCATCAGATCCCAAAAAATTTTAAAGTCATCAGTACAGGATGATGGAGGGGATAGGATTGCTTCATCTGGGACGCCAATCATTTATTGGAAGGAGGCTCCACTGGCTCCTGATCCTCTGAAAAAAGTCTCCCTGAGAAGGTGGAGCTTGCTGTGGAAGGGGTACTCTGGGCCTGAAGGCTCCTCTTGGCGGGCCTTTTTACATCAAGGCTCCCTGTAAAACTGGTCAGGGAAGGGGCCTATGTGGTAGAATGCCAATGTGGTGAGGCATATGGAAAGGGTGTGGGACCCTAGGAATGTTCCTGCCAACATTGGCAGGGAGGATGATGACTAATTCCCAGAGTATCCTTGTCAGGGTAGATAACAAGGGACAGAGGCTGTAAGGGAAAGGTAGTCAAATCCTGGAGAGAGATGTTTGACTCTGAAGACGTATCATCCCACGTCCAATAGAGGAGCTAGAGTAGTTGGTACTGGCAGATGAGTCGGTGGTAGAATAGGTGCGGGCATCCAAGTCCAAAGCTGGCAAACCTGTGCCCAGGGAAAAATAAGGAATACTAAAAAAATAAGATACAGAGAGCGAGAAAATAAGCTAGTGGACACTGCAAAGCTCTGTGTCTAAATACAGGTGGTTGAAAAGGAACTGAGTGGCAGTAAGTCTGACCTTCCCTATATATCCTTGTTCTGGAGCACATGGAAGTGAAAGATGCAAGCATGGACCTACAGACCTGTTGAACAAATCTTCGATGGAAGGTGTATGGGCATCTACATGGTGTCCCCCTAGGGACAGTAACTCAAAGAACTAAAATTGGGGGGTTGTTTGTTTTAAGATAGATAAGAGTAACTGATTAATTACTAAACTAAACCCATGGATTGTCAATTAATTAAAAAATTATTAAAAACACAAGGAAGATGTTAGAGTCACAGTTCAACCTTCTGAGGACTTTCTGAAACAGAGTTTCTGTCTCCATTAGCAATTGAATCACTCTCTTGTAACAGTCAGGCCAGTGCAATTCAGTGCAGTGAAATCCATCTTTTTCAGCCTCAGGGCCAAACGTGCTATTTCATAAAGGTCATGGGGACACAATCAATACTTTTAACTAGTTCTCTAGGCTTAGGTAGAGCCACTCGAGCACCTATCCATTCTCTCTCTCCAGGGCTCCCACAGCCCAGCAGGGATGTAGGTATTGGAACAGCTGGCCAGCAAGCTACCCTTCCTTCCTTTGTGATATAGCAGATGGCCAGTGAGGGAAACTGCTGAGCAGCTGCAGGAGTAAAGTAACAGCAGCTGTTCAGAGCACTCCCAGCTCTCATCAGAGATGCTCCTGAGGCTGAGAGGGAAATAGTGGAATGTAGTTGGGGAGGTGATAACCTCTGCTTATTCTCAGTAGCAACGGAGCTGATTCAAAACCTTCAATTAAATCAGTCTCTCTCTCTCTCTCTCTCTCTCACTCACTCACTCAAGGGGACATATTTTCAATTCACAATCAAATAAAAATATTCTTCCTAACACAACTGCCCTCAAGGGAAAAAATGTAGGGGTACAAGTGGCCTCCAGGCCACAGGTTGAATCCTGATTCTTTAAAGGGAACTGGAAGAAATGGTGGTAATATCTGTCCATAAGATTGATGGTGTTCAGCCACCATTGGTGACTGGGGTAATGACTTGGGAATCTGGTTAGAGAATCAGGTAGCAGCAGTCAAAAAGGCATTTTACCATATATGGATACGGCCGTATCTTTTAAATGAGGATCTTGCTACCATCATCCATGTCTCTGCCACTTCCAAGTTAAACTATTGCAATGTACCCTGTATGTGAATCTACATCTCAAATTCATGATTTGGAATTTGGACTTGGTGCAAAAGGCAGCTCAGGTGGCATTCTATAGATGACACCTGACACTGCTCTAGGACCTGCACTGTTTACCTGCGAGTTTCTGGAAAGACTTTAAGGTGCTATTTTTGACCGATTAAGCTTTCTATGGCCTAGGACCAACCTACTTGAGATACCACCTTTCACAGACATTTGCCATAAGGACCTCCAGAGCTCTTAGAATGTTCTCGAGACCTCGTCTGAAACAGCAGATATCTGAGGACTTTCGGGACTCACTGCAGGGTCCATTTGTTTCACCTGGCTGGGAAGTAGTATTTGATTGTATGCTGCTGCTTGCGGAAGGGGTGAGTTGATTCGTATTGCATTATGTTTTTGTAATTTTAAATAATTGGCATGATGCTCAGAGGCTACATAAAGGCACTTTTATTTATTCTAAATTGAAATAAAATAAAATAAAAAAAACTTTCAGATCGCCTACCGGACAGAAAATTCCTTAAACATGTGTCTTTTGAGGGAAGGGAGAAAAAGGGAAATGAGAAATTCTTGGGGAGATCTAAAAAAAGGTTGAAAAGACAACCCCCCCTTTGTGGGGAAAAATGGTAACCGTGACAATCTTAAAACAGTTTTTCCTTTTTTGGAATATTACCAGCACATTTTAAAATATTTACCAAAATTTCTACAATTCACGTTTAACTAACAGCTAAAGTGTAAATAGCAGTCCAAACCTCTTACCTTGAACACAAAAATAGGGAAGACAGGGTTCTCCAGACTGACATCCTTTTCTATTTACTTCACACAACTGATTGGCAGCACAAGGATTTGGATTACATGGATGTGTAACCTCCTCCACAATGTTACCTAAAGAACTCGGGCCTGAAATTGTAATTACAGATCAGCTGCAGTGATTTAAATAATAACGAGGTCCATGATAATTTTTCTAATAAAGCATGGCATTTCCTATTTTGAACATTGAATTTTATTCTGCCACATACAATTTCTTGAAATCTTTCGTTCTCCACTGTTGAGAATGCTTATGTAGAAGCTTTACATGAGAGGTTACTTGTAATGGGTTAACATATTAAGCCCTTCACTCCTGAAAACCCTGGCCCAAATTCTACTCATAAGTAACCATGTGTTTGATCAATCTTGTTCCCCAAATAAGTTTTGTCTACAACACAGAACACAAATTGGGACTGATTGGCAATCTCTAATCAAGAGAAACCCCATGACAGCAACAGCAGGGTTGTTAAAGGACAGCCTGAAGATGAATTGGAAACATACATAGTTTCTTGAAGACAATTTGGTGTCACTGGTGAACTGTTAAGATTCAACTCAGTTTCCCTCGACTCTGTAGTAATGACTTCCTTGCATAAAGAGAAAAAGGAAAGTGAGGGGAAAGGAGAGACAATGACATGGGAAAGGTAACTCAAATACAGAAACATGATGAGAAGAGGATGTTGTGAAGGATGCTGGGATAGATATTGCATTCACATATTGTATTTTATGTTTAAAGCACAAAAACCCCAAACAACAACAACAAAAACCCATTGTAACTAAGATAGACCAAACAGTACAAGCCATAAAGTACTCACAGCCCTTTTTATCAAGATAGGGGGTGGGTGGGGGTGAAAAAGACTTTCGCCTACCAGGGCCTCTTGTACAATTTCTGGTATATTTAGTAAGCATGTAAATCCATGAATAGTTTTATGTATGTTTTCTCTCTGTCCTTTTACCCCAATAAATATACTCTGCTGAGAATGAGCTGTGTGATAACTTGAAATGGCTGGCACTCACTGGCTATAGCCCTCAGAAAGAAAGCACAGCAGAAGTACTGGCTGTTCAGCAGACTGGCTTGCTGGGGATATCAAAGTATATGGCAGAGGGCTGCGCAGCCTCAAATCTCTGCTCAGATGGTAGTGGAATAACTGAAGGCCTGAGACCTGAATGAGCATTTCTACAGTGGACAAAGGAGGGAGAAATGCAGATGCAGTTACCCTGAAACTGTGACAGATGTCTTTTGTTGTGTAAGGAAATGGGGGATCATGTTTGATTGTCTTCTTGTTTCTCAATACTTTGGGGTGTGAAGGGGTTCTTTCTGATACATAGGCTAGTTAACCTTATCAAAAAGACATTATTATTTTGAAGAATATTAATATTAAGATTCAATGGGCCAGATTTTCAGCTAATATAAATCAATGTACATCCATTGAAGTTACAGAAGTGTATGAGAAGTGAAGTCATGCTGGGGTTCTGGTCCAATATATTACATGAAACACTTTCAGCTGAACAATTTCATGTGATTCCATTTTAAAAAATGAAATACCAATTTTTAGACTTCAAAAGCATTTTACAATCCAACCCTGTTGCACAGATATTTTGGTACTTACTAAGGTATGTATCCAAAGGGATACAGTTCTCAAAGTCATCTGTTGGCGACAGAAGTTCACAAATGCTTTCAGCTGTGTGGCCCTCAGGAAATTTATTTTGGTCTCCACATTTCTTGAGAATTTCCACACAATCTGATCTTCAGAGAAAATAAATAATTATACAAAATGAACACACTACTGGAGGGAAATTTTTTTTTTAAAAGAAGCATAAAAAAATTAATTTCCCCCAATCATTTATACCATTCATCGCTCACAAACATACAGAGAGGTATAAATTTATGGTATGAAGATAGGAATTATAGAAACTTATTGCTGAAACTGCAGTTTTTTTCACCCTGGGTTTGGACAGTTTGTTTTGTAACTGTGCCAAAGCAAAAACAACAAGAAAACCACCAAAAACCTCTGTGACCTTAAGAGCCCCTTTATGTCAGCTGGCAAAGGGCGCACACACAGTTGTCAGGATATTTAGGCAAACAGTCTTGTGAGACAGTATATAAGAACTGGTCACACACTGGTCATGAATAACATTGTGTGATGTATGTACGGTTTCTGTATGAAAAGTTATGTCTATGTGCTGGAAATGTTTCCTAAAATATGTTTTGGAGGCAGTGGATAAACAAGGCTGCCTTACGCAAAGGAAAAACAGTTACTAACCTTTCCATGACTGTTTGAGATGTGTTGCACATGCCCATTCCACTTTAGGTGTTTGTGCGCTCCAGTGAACAGTTCTCAGAAACTTTTTACCCCATCAGGGCAGGCCAAACAATCTCTGCTGCCTCACACACATCACATATGCATAAAGGGCTGAGCTGCCTTAGGCCCCGCTCAGTTCTTTCCTACCAGAATAAATCCAATAGAGAGGGGAAAGAGAGCAGGCCATGGAATGGACATGTGCAACACATCTTGAAGAACAACAGTTATGGAAAGGTTAGTAACTGTGATTGCACATGTCCATTCCTCCGCAGATCACTCACTAGCAGTCTCATGTGGAGGTGGGTTCAGAATCCATTTGAACAGTGACTGGATGACCACTTGTCTAAATTTAGCATTGTCTCTAGACTGCCTTCCACTGTGCAATCTCTCAACAAACATGTGACATGACGACCAGGGTTGCCACTTTGAAAATGTCTAATATGTGCGCATGAACCAGGAAAAGGTCAGAAAAAGAGGCCATTTGAAATCTAGTCGAATGACCCAATACACTATCTGGCGGCTCCTCGTTAGTCAACTGTTAACATAGACAAACACAACTGGATATCCATGAAAGTACTTTGCATGGAAACCAGACTGTCCTTCATTCTGTCTGCAAATGCAACAAAGAATTGAGACAAAGACCTGAAAGATTTAGTCAGTTACAGATAAAACGCTAATACTCTTCTAACGTCTTGAGTATACAGTGTCTCCTCTCCCTTATCACCGTAAGGCTTAGGGAAGGTGGTCAGTAAGAAAACTACTTGGTTGATAAGAAAAGAGGAGACCACTTCTGTAAGAAAACTTTTATGGCAACAAAGGTAAATTTTATCTGTGTATAAAACCATATATGGAGAATGTGATACTAATGCCCTCAACTCCCCTATTCTCCTGGCCAATGTAATGGCAATTAAAAATGAAAAGTGTAACAGAGAGCAGGTTGCTAGAGGCTTGAAAGGAGGATCCATCCACTTTGTTAAAACTAAATTCAGACTTCAAGATGGATTAGGGCTTTATGTGTGTGGAAACATCCTATCCAAACCCTTTAAAAATCTTACAACCATCAGGTTAGAAAAAAGGGAGTGGTTATCCACAGAAGGATGAAATGCTGATACAGCTGCTGGGGGGACCTTAACTGAGCTAACTGCTAATCCTTGATGTTTCAGATACAAAAAAAATGTTCCAGCACATAGAGAAGAGAAATCACTATCTCTTGCAGCAATATTTTCTCGTGAGGGGGTCCCTGATAGGGATGGGGAAGGGAAGGATGGAGTAGAAACAAAATGGAACATATATCCCACTTCCACCATGCTTAGAATCCATCCAACTGTTTTGATGTGGGCCAAGCACGATGGACGTGGAACAGGTAGTTTGCAAAAATTGAAAAGAAAAAGATGTCACTCCCACAATTGACAGACTGCTCTCAACCTGCCCATCAACATGAGCTCCTGGAAGATGCCACCTGCCTTGGCAAACTAGCAGCAGCTGAAGCAGAGGGTAGTGGTGGGCATCTTTTTCCATCTCTGTTCTTTCTCCTTGGTAGTTCTTGGGCTCAAGGGGCAAACCACTGAAAATGCTGAGATTGTTGAGGGTAGAAATCCTTCCACGTCCCTGCTGGGGTGTAAATTCCCAGGGATTTCAGGGTCACTCTAGAATCTGAGACCGATGGCCCTTTAAAGGGTAAGTCCCGTACTGTCCATAGCACCTCTTGAGGGAGACCAGAAGAGTGTAACCAGGATGAGTCTCACCATGATAGCAGAGGCCATGTAGCATACTGCGGTATCTGCTGCATTGACTCATCTGCAGAGCTGTTCTGATGACCAGCTTGCCTTCCTCTAATAAAGTCAGGAGCTCATTTCACTTCATCTGGGAGTTGGTCTTTGAACTTCGAAACAGCATCGGACAGGGTGAAATTGTAGCATCCCAGCAAAGTTTTCTGGTTTGCAATATGAAGCTATAATCCACCTGTAGAATAAAGCTTCTTCCCAAGTCATCATCTTGTCCTCTATATTTTTGGGGGTGGACGCCTGGTGGCCTTGCATTTCCTTTTCATTGGCTGCTGCCACTACAATGGAGCTTGGAGGAGGATAGCTATACAGGTGCTCAAATCCCTAAAAAGGGAAATAGTACCACTCTTTTTGCAGTTGTATTCAGGGAAGCTGGGGTCTGATAGAGGATCTTAGTAGGCTCTAAGATAGTTCTACAAATAAATGAGGCTATTTCAACTGGAGCCACAGAGGTCAGAATGTCTACCAGCTTGTGGGATTTTTCCTGGACCTCCTGTGGATGAATATCTAGGGCCATAGCCATCCTCCTCCACAGCCTTGATAAGTCTTAAAATAATCCAGAGGTAAAGAAATAGGCTCAATTACAATTGCCTCATCTGGGGATGAGGAAGAGAATGCTAATGGTACCAGGGCTAGTTCAGTTTGTGCTCCTCTTGCAGCTATTCGTGAGATGGATCATGACTCTCCTGAGTGCCAAACTCAGTACCAATGCTATGGTGCTTGTGGCAACGATGTTCCTGACACTCAATAGATGGAGAAGAGATATCTCAATAGATGATTAGGAGGGAAACCCCACATGTTCTAAAAGGGCCACTGGTACAGCCCCCAACCCCAACTGTGAGTAACCCAAGGGTCCCTCCTATAAGCTTCCTGCTGGTACTGAGCCAGAAACCAGTTCAGGCAGGTAATATAGTCCTCCTGAGGTGAATGGATAAGCTGGGATACATAGGATCCCACTTCAGAGTTTGATTAGGAAAAAGACCAAGGTGGTGCCGTACCCATTGGTACTGCAGAAGGTGGCTCAAGCTCTGAAGAAAGGGGAGCTGGGGATACTACCTGCAGCTTTTTCCTGGACAGTACCAGCCTCACTGGTACCCTGATGGCCATGTGCAGTAGAGCTGCTCAATGCTGAGATGAAGTTGTTGGAGGCGGTACCTTTGGAGACAGTGCTGGGTGACACTGTTGAACCTCTGGTGATGATGCAACTGAGAGGTTCAACAACTCTCTCGCAGCCTCAAATGCCTTGAGTAGATAGTACCAGGAAAACACTCTGTAGTACTGCGATGTAAGAAGTTGCTGATGAAGGTGCTTCTGAAGCTGGTCTTGACAGGGCCACATTGTGCTTTGCAGTCAACGAACTCCGTTGTTTAGAAGTGTGCTCTGAGAAGTGCTTCCTCTTTGCATGCATTCCAGAGTCTTCAGAAGAGCTCATCCTCTTCAAGTCTTGTGATGACTCTAATACTGAGTCCGATTTCCAATGCTTCTTCTTCAGAACCAGTGATAGTGATCTGCTTCTTGGAACTCGTAATGCCAGAGATGTGCCACTGAGAGATGCAGAGGTCCTTGATACTTGGACAAGATAGAGGGCTCAGCACAGAGTCCATCACCAGACATTTTAACTTGGCGTCCCTGTCTTTTTTCAACAAGGCTTAAAGTTGTTACAAATGCCACACTTGCCTTACATGAGCCTCCCCCAAGCAAATAAGGCAGCTGGGGTGAGGGTCACTATCAGGCATAGCCTTACCGCAAGAGCAGCGGGTCTTAAACTCAGAGAGCGCAGCATATCTCCAGTACCGGGACTGGTATCCAAACTGGGTGCCAGAACCACACAAAACAACTTTTTTATTTTCATTTTACTAACTAAACTAAATTAAACATGTGTACTATAAAAAGGTATTGAGAAAAAACTTCCAGAAGGACAGGGAGCTCTAACAACTATCACAGGCAGTAGGAAGGAGCTAAGCAGGCCTGGGGTACCTTGGCCTTCTATGCCTGTGTGATGTGCATGAGACAGCAGAGGGCGCTCAGGCCGACAGGTATTGCTAAGGGTAAAAACTCTGACAACTGTGCACTGATGCACACAAACATTTACAGTGGAATGCACATGTGCAATCACTTGAAGACGAGTGTGGATTTACCTTCTGCCTGGCTTCATTACAGACAGTGGACAAAGAAAGTACATTTACATATAAGGAAAAAAGCAATTAGGCTAACGAGAGCTGGAGGAAACACCTGGGTGAGCACACTAGGGGAAACACCAGACTCTGAACCCCAGGAAGTCTTGGCTCTTTAGACAAAGACTATAGACTTTAGAAAATACAAGGGGAGGAAAAAGACATTCTAATTATCCATCACTTAGAGGACAAAGAGCCAGCATCCTCTCATTCTGTGACCGCTGGATTCTCCTACCCAACGGCTGATGGTGCCGGTACCTTGAAGTAAGCAAGAAAGCTGTTTAATCCAAGTTGTAGCTTGCTAAAGTTACAGCTTCAACACTAGAAAGTGTGTTTTATTTTGTTTTGTTTGTAGCCATACCTGTCTCCTTTTCTCTTGCTTAGTATCACTTAAATCTATGTTCTTTATTAATACATTTATTCTAAGTTTTACTATAAATCATCTCAGTGCTGTTATAATGAAGTAAAGTGCAAGTCCTCAGCTAAACTGACAGGCAGGTGTGTGCACTGTCTCCTTGGGGGCAGAAAACTTAATTTCTGTAAGTGTTCAGTGAGAGGGACTGGACACAGCACAGAGACGTCCTAGGAAACTCAGGAACCTGTTCACTGATTTGCTGGTGAGGTGGACAGATCGGAGTGGCAAGGAGCTGACACATAATTTAAGCCCCAGAAAAACTCACTCTTGCTGCTGCAGAGAGGTAACACAATGGCTTATGGTTCTGGGTGCTCTGCGGAGAGTGTCACAACCCCCCACATACTTAGCATGCATGTGGAGCTCAAAAAGAATGGTCGTGTCTTCCTTTGCTGCTCCTATCAAAGGCGGTGGTTTTTCCCCTTTACTACTGATGTGGCCCACTCCTCACTTTCACTCTTAATGACTGGAAAGGGTGAGAACTAGGACAAGAGGACTCATCCAGCACCATTTGTGTGGGAATTATGGTACCCAGGGGTGATATCACCCAGAAAGCATCCACAGAGCATTGGCTGCAGTCAGAAGCCAATACCAGCCAGAAAATACAAACTGTGCTCCCTCAAGAGTGATTAAGAAAACTGAAAAGTTATTAGTACATGTGGGGAAATAAAGAAGCTAATGACAGAGAAAAAAAGATTATGGTGGAGAGAAAACATGGGGACAGAAAACAAAGGGGACAGGAAAACAATAAAAGGGGAAAGAAAACAATGGAAAAAGAAGAGGAAGAAAATGTTCTGTATTTAAAAGAATGAAAGTGGGAGATGAAAGAAGACCAAAATCAAATGAAAGAATGGAGAAAAAACAATTTGAAGGTTAGTAAATTATGTTTTGTTACTTGTCTTACATTTGACTACAAACCCCCACACCAGGAAAGAGGATGATCACATCACTAAAAAAAGAAAGAGAATATTTCTACTGAATGCAATTCAGGTAGGAGATGAAGAGTTTCCACTCTCACCCAGTTCAAGCACTGCAGGGATCAAGAAAAAACAGACATGCAGTAGTCTTGCAGGGAAATGGTTATATATAATATATATAGTTTAGTCTGCCTAGGAGAGGCAGAATGGTCTAATGGAAAGAACACTTTCCTGGGAATCAGAAGACGTGGGTCTTCTCCAATTGTTACACTGAAATGCTGTGTGACCTTGGACAAGTTTCTTCTGCACCACTGTTTGCCCTTCCAACCTCGGTCTTGTCTATTTATATAGGTAAAGCAGGATGTAAAAACCTGAAAAAATGATCTTTATAATAGAAACACAGAGAGATTCTTCTCTACACTCTATTCAGGTAAGGGCTTAGGACTTTCAACTCCCATTGACTTTACTGGAAGTACATCAACTATTCAATATCACATTCCTTCTGTGTTAGCCTTTTCTAAGGCAAGTCAAACCCAGTACTATAGTAGATTGTGGTTTTGGTTTATATGTAAACTGAAAAACTACTGAAGTTAAAAAGACTTATGAATGTACTTACTTGCAGATAATACTTCCTCTAGATTTACTATGACAAGGTTTAATCTGCAGTGAGCAAGCAATTGCCTTCCATGTTTCTGGTTGGCATTTTTTAATGTCAAGAACAGGAATGTTTATAAATGGCATCTTAATACTTCCTTTCTCCCAAAGCTTCATGTCATTCATGGCTCCTTGGTCTGACTGAGCATTGCAGCTTCTAAAAAGTTCTGTTGGTCTTAAAGGAAAAAGTTAATACAGCATCTTTATACAGAAGGGAAAAAATAAATTTACTTTATACAACAAATTCTAGAACCCTATGCTATGTGTCATAGTGGTATAAAAGACAATTGTGAACACCTGAAAGGAAATGATTTTTAAAAATCATTTCAAGAAGCTACCTTAAAAGTAATAAAAATGAGAAAATAAAGTGTTCAAAGGATTTCACCTGTTGTGTCTATATCATTATCTGTAATTCCTAGACAAAGATGGAGGGATCTAACTCAGTGACAGACTTTCATATATACACATTTAAAATTGTTGATGTATTCATTAGTGACCCTGTACCTTATTTTTACATATATTATTTAATTATATAAGGGACAAGGTTAAAAACGAATACATTCGTATTCTTTCAGAGCACATTCACCACCATCACAATCTGCTGGGAAAATTCAATTTTTTTTAAAAAGCTCCCTGAATATAACTCTGATTTTTACATTTCTGAAAGAATAAGAATTCTGAAAAAGAACAGATTATGAGACATTCTAGTGCTCTCTCAGGAAAATTTTAAAATGTAATATGAAAAACTATTTTTTTGGCTACATTTTGCAATATATGGTGTACAGTATTTAAGATAACCCAGGTTTTTTTGCTTTTAAGAACTGAAGGTTTATTTATAAATTGACAATTTGGTCTCCGAAATATTTCAAAACTAAAAAAATCATGAAAATAATAAAAAAGATCCAGGTTTTGTTTCATAAACGGCAGAGCAATGAATTTTAAGAACGTTTGTGGAAACGTTTTCTTCAGGGCTGGCTCCAGCGTTTTTGCCGCCCCAAGTGGCAAGAAAAAAAAAAAAAGCCGTGGTCGGCAGCACTTCGGCGGCAGCTCTACCACCGCCACGTCATTCTTTGGCGGCAATTCCACGGCAGAGCCTTCCCTCTTAAAAAAAAAAAAAAAAAAAAAAAAAAAAAAA